ATGCATTATGTGTGGGAAGCATTTTGCAGCAAAAAAGGCCCGTGTACATCTAAAGAATGATTTCAAGTTGCATCTTACAGACTCACGAGACCATCCGGGAGTGAAACCGTACCAATGTCAGCAGTGTGGGAAATGTTTTACTCGGAATTCAACGCTCTTAATGCATCACAGAATCCATACAGGAGAGAAACCATACAAATGCCAGGAGTGTGGGAAATGTTTTACTCAGAATTCTCACCTTCTGACTCATCAGACTGTACATGCAACAGAGAAGCCATACAAATGTAAGGAATGTGGAAAATGTTTTACTCGGAATTCAAACCTTTTGATGCATCAAAGAGTTCACACAGGAGAGAAACCATACAATTGCCAGGAGTGTGGAAAAAGTTTTGCTCATGGGTCAGACCTTAGGACTCATCAGCGAGTCCATACAGGAGAGAAACCCTACCATTGCCCGGAGTGTGAGAAATGTTTTGCTTATCGATCTAACCTTAGGACTCATCAGCGAGTCCACACAGGAGAGAAACCCTTCAAATGCCAGGAGTGTGAGAAATGTTTTCTTCTCCGTGCAAACCTTGTGCGTCATGAGAAAGTCCACACAGGAGAGAAACCCTACAAATGCCAGAAGTGTGGGAAATACTTTGTTCGCAAGAAAGCCCTCGTGAGTCATCAGACAGTCCACTCAGGAGAAAAACCATTCAGATGCCTGGAGTGTGGCAAATGTTTTCCTCATAATTCAAACCTAATGAAGCATCAAAGGGTTCACACAGGAGAGAAACCGTTCAAATGCCAGGAGTGTGAGAAATGTTTTGTTCGCAAGGCAGACCTCGTGTGTCATCAGAGAGTCCACTCAGGAGAAAAACCTTACAAATGCGTGGAGTGTGGCAAATGCTTTGCTCATAGTTCAAATTTAGTGAACCATCTAAGAATTCACACTCGTGAAAAAGTATACAAGCCCCCACAGTGTGAGACCTTCCTTCCTTCATTTCTTCATTTTACCGATACCCCACCTTCATCCCAATAAAGGGAGGAATGTTCCTAAGGCAGCTAACGTTTAGCTAATATTTTGCTAAAATATTACAGTTTTGTACAATTAGAGAATTGTCACAAAGTGATGTGGATTTTCCTGAAGATTTTGAATTTAAAGATATTCTCGTGCCAAAAAGTGAGAGATTTGATCTTGGTTTCTTGGCCTCTCGTAACCTTTGTTCTTTTGCAGGGATTGTAAGCAAATACGGATTCGTGCTTGGAATTGCTAAAACACATTGGTGGATCACACATAATCTCTATTGGAGAGCCAACGTGGTGGAGCATTTGGCCAATCACAGGTCTGGTGCAAAAACATTCCATACTCTAGAACAGAAATGAGTCCGTGCTGTACATGTTGAAAATGAAATAAAAATTTAATCACTCTTGCTTTGATTTAGGGTTTGCCTGGTACAGTTAAAAGTTGCATTGATAATGTAATATATCTGAAGTACCATGTGTCTTTCTGGATTTACTCTTGGATGTTAATAAATTAAAAAACGCATCTACTCTTGGTCCATTGTCTAAAAAATACTAATCTCATCAGTACTAGTTCAAGACTCACAGGGATTTTATGTCTTGCT